AACAATGAAAGGATATATGTTCTGCCCATATTGTTGAAAATAATGTATGTAATATACTGTAATGTTATGTGATGTTGCTGCCATCTAGTGGTTAGAGTTATTATCCTAATATAAAAAGGTATGCGCTAATAACAAACTTATACAAAGGTGTATATCATCATCCAAAAAAAAAAAATTTAGTGTTTTCAATAAATAATTATAGTGACCATCGTACCGCCCCTTGATGATGTCGGTGTGATGAAAGCGGTTGGGCGTGGTCTACTAGATGTGGACGTTAGAGAGCCTTGCTGTTCTGTGCTGTATGGAAGAGATCCGCGGTGAGCGGTAATTGTATCTCACCTTTTTTTGCGATTGAAGCTGGTGTCTGTTGGACACCTTGTTTGTGAGTTTCCTTATACCTTTTTTATTAAAGAGATAAATGGGAAAAAAAAAAAAAACGTATTGCACCATTATGTTCTCTTTTTTGTCCCTGAGTGTACTGTATGCTCTCATGGAGGTATGAGAAAGAGTGGAGAAGTTCATCATAAGAGCTTGGGCTGCAAAGTTGTTTGGCTGTGATTATTATTATCCGGAAGTGTCTGAAACATCACCATATCTATTTGGACATCGGGTTCATTGCTCCCAGAGCACAAGCGCTGTTGCTGGTTTATAATTTGACCAGCCATTAGCTCTGGTGAGTTCATTTAATCTCCTTTGGTGATGGATTTTTCACAATTGGTTCAATTCACTGAAGATATTTTTTTTTTTTTTTTTTTTTTTTGGACACTAATTTATGTTTGGTCGCTATAATTATTTATTTAAAAAACACTAAATGTTTTTTTTTTTTTTGGATGATGATATACACCTTTGTATAAGTTTGTTATTAGCACATACCTTTTAATTAGAATTATTGTTGCCAATATTTATTTTTTGGGTGGGATATGCTGCTGACACTTTGGTGTTTTTTGTAAGTGGCGCTTATTTCTTTTTTTAATTTGGTTAGAGTTATTATGCCTAGTTATATCAGGATTTGTCAGGAAGTGGTAATTTTCACATAGAGGCAATAACCTCTAACCTGGAACTTCCTATCCTCCATTTTGTGACTGTTTCTGAATCTAGCAAGCAGCATACAGTGGAGCTCCAAGCTATTCCTGGACTTATGGTGGAATTGTCCGTGAGTACACTCACTGATGGGATGAAGCTGTTGTATAATGTTTAATGTACTGACACATATGTTTTGTTTGTGCTTATGTTGTAGTTTTAAAAAGTTATTCAGAACAAGGAATACATACAGATCTGATGTCTCACGTTTCTTGACTTCTGAATTATTGTTAGACTGTCTGACTAGTGTTATACAACAGTTCAATAACGCGAAACAGAACAATATAACAGAAAATTAATATAATATACTGTATATACAATTGGATACATTGATATAAGCAATTTTAAAGACAATGGAGTTGATTTAATAAAGGCAAATAGACTGCACTTTGCAAGTACAATTGCACTCATTTTTCTCAGAGCTTAGTGAATGTGGTGAAGTTCTGTTGATTTCCATCATCCAATCATGTACAAGCAAAAATGTTGTTTTTTTTTTTTTATTTTCCTTGCAAACCGAAGCTTCCCCACATTCGCTAAATTCTGGGAAAAATGCCTATTTGCCTTTAGTAAATAAACCCCATAGTGCCTTACTGAATTCTGGTGGGAGCAGTTGTGTAAATGGTTTCAATATCTTTTGTGCGATGTAATGAAGTTTTGATATAGTCATGCCTACTGGGAGGTCTTATATGTCCAATTGTTTATGATCAGTATGAAGTGATGTGGCATACAATTATAAAGGACTGGAGTAATCCATGTTTAGAACTATTGACTCGGAGTTCCCCTTTACTCATACATATTTTGCAGCAGGTAATTTAGAATCATCCTTTTCTTACATCTGTGTTTAAGACATTCTGAGATTTTAGTTCTACCAGGACAATATGAGGGTTCAAGTTCTCCAGGATGTAGGTCAGATCAAGTCTGTAATACTCGAATATTCTCCTCAGTGATGGATCATCATATGCAGACAGCTGGCAGCAGAAGCTCCTTCTGTTCTCTAGAAAAAACACAGGAATACATTTTCTGATTTATAAATGATGTGAATTATTGTCCAGCATGGATTTATATCTCAGCACTAGGAGCACTAGAGATAAGAATCATTAGGATCAATACATTAATTGCACTGCAATTGGGGAATTACCTTTGCACATCCAAGCTAACTAGTCTTCATTGAGAACTTTAGAACTTTGGGCTTTAACTATTTAAAGCCTAACTACAGATGAATAAAAGAGTAAAGTAAATAAATATATACACACACACATATATATATATATACACAGACACACACACAGTCCTCAGCATAGATGAGTACACCCCTTTTGAAAAGTATAATTTAAATGAATAGCTCAATGAACACAAGATTTCCAAAATTTTGACAAAACTAAATTTTATAGAACATTTTACATGGGAGTAAGATTAATAACATAACTTCGTATACAAAAACTTCAGTTATACTCAAATTAGTTGATGCAAAAATGAATACACCCCACAACAAAAACAACAACATCTAGTATTTTATATGACCTCCATGATTTGTAAGGACAGCACCAAGTCTTCTAGGCATGGAATGAACAAGTTGGTGACATTCTACAACATCTATCTTTTTCCATTCTTCAAGAACGACCTCTTTTACAGCCTGGATGCTGGATGGAGAGTGGTGTTCGATTGGGTTCAGATCAGAAGACATACTTGGCCACTGAATCGCTTTCACCCTGTTCTGCTTTAGAAATGCAAGAGTGGCCATAGATGTGCGTTTTGGATCATTGTCATGCTGGAAAAGTGCACAACAACCAAGGGCACGGAGTGATGGTAGCATCTTCTCTTTCAATATAGAGCAGTACATCTGTGAATTCATGATACCATCAATGAAATGCAGCTCCCTGACACCAGCAGCACTCATACAGCTCCACAGAAGGATGCTGCCACCACGTTTCACTGTAGGCACCATGCATTTTTCTTTGTACTCCTCACCTTTGCGATGCCACACAGTTTTGAAGCCATCAGTTCCAAAAACATTTATCTTGGTCCCATCACTCCAGGGTACAGAGTCCTAGTAGTATTCTTCTTTTTGTATCATTTTTGTATCACTTTTGCTACAGTATTCTGACTGATACGTAAAGCTTTGCTGATCTTCTTGTAGCCTTCACCATTTTCCAGGATGTCAGGAATTCGCCCCCTGGGGAGTGACCTTAGATCCCTCTGTACTTACAGGAGTATGCTGAGTGAGTATTTTGTATCATTCAGCACCTGCCCACTGCTAAGGACAAAAAAGGATTGTAATGATTGTGCACATTAGGCACGTGGATGCTGTAGGTGACAGCCATCTTGTCAGGCCTCAGCCATTTTTTTAACACACTTTAACCACATGCCCTCCTGAGGATTTACCCCCCTTCCTGACCACGCCATTTTTTACGGTACGGTGCTGCGTTACTTTAACTAACAATTACGCAGTCATGCAGTACTACACCCAAATGAAATTTACATCCTTTTTTTTCCCACGAATTGAGCTTTCTTTCAGTGGTATTTGATCGCCTGTGCAGTTTTTTATTTTTTGTGCTATAAAAAAAGACCGTCAATTTAAATACATTTTTAATTTATTAAACATATCCAGTAAAAAAAAAATTTAAATCTAATTTTGTCATATATTTAGGCCAAAATGTATTCTGCTACATGCCTTTGCTGAAAAAATTCCCAATATGTGTAAATTAATTGGTTTATGTTTTTTAAAAATTTTTATTTTTACTAGCAATGGCAGTGATCAGCGACTTATAGTGGGACTGCGGCAGGCATTCTGACACTGGGGGAACTGACTTGGTGTCACTGACATCCCCAGTGACACCAATACAGTGATCAGTGCTAAAAAAAAAACACTGCCACTGTACTAATGGTACAGGGCAGGAAGGGGTTAACATGAGGAGCAATCAAAGGGTTAACTGTGTGCTGGGTGTATTTTACTATGGGTCCCTGTGTTTGTGCTTCACTGTTAGCACACTTCTTTGTATGGCTGCTCTTTGCACAGCTATGCAAAGCAGTGTGCACGAGCTGACAGGGAGAACTGTTTTGTTTACAATCAGTTCTCCTTCCCAGTGGAGATCCTCGGCAATCACAGGGCACCGGTGAGTAATCACCAACTGGGGACCCGGTGATTGATAGTCACGGCTGCGAACGGAAAACCCAGCCTGTTTTTCAACTTAGGGACAGCAGACACCAGCACACAGGACTTGGGCAGGGCTGTAAACCGTTAATTGAGTACTGGCAGGATGCCTGTTTTTATTGGCCATATAAAACTCTACAGATTAACATTTCCCTCTGACCTATTGTAAAACAATGACAAAATAAGTTAGGTCTGTCACGCATGACGTGTAGGGCAATTAAAGCATTAGGAACGCATAGCATGCCATAAAACATCACGGAAAGCAGCCAGGCGTGGGCTACCTCTCTGAGACCACTGCCCAATTCACAACTCAACAAAATCCACATACAAGTCATAAAATCCAACAGGACCAAGACACATTAATATTACGTACTGTATTTTTCACTCCATAAAATGCACTTTTTCCCCCACAAAAAAGGGGGAAAATGTCTGTGTGAGCAAATATGAAGCGGTATTCCCCCCCCGTCACCGCCGCTGTGTTAGAATACCGTGCCGACCGCTCGGCTCTTCTTTGCTGCAGAACCTGCCCCTTGGTCCTACCTATTCCTCGGTCCAGCAGTGTCCTCATCACTGCTGGTTTTACAGTCCGTCTTTTCTCCCCGGCACCGGCATCTTCAGTGTGGGCACCCGTATGACCCCCGTAGTCTTCTGGGACCTGGTCCCAGAAGACTACGGGGAGGGAGGACAACTTCCTCTTCCAGTCGCCTAGGCGATCGCAGCAGAAATGGGAGCGGGTACCTCTCAAATTTGGGTACCCGCCCCCCAAGGGTCTGCAGTCTCTGGTCATATCCTGTACTATGTCCGCAGTCTCTGGTCATCCCCTGTACTATGTCCATAGTCTCTGGTCATCTCCTGTAGTACATCTGCAGTCTGGTCATCTCCTGTACTATGTCTGCAGTCTCTGGTCATCTCCTGTAGTATGTCTGCAGTCTCTGGTCATTCCAGTAGTACATCTTCAGTCTCTGGTCATCTCCTGTAATATGTCCACAGTCTCTGGTTGTAATGCCTGTGAAATGTGTTGGCCTTGGACCCTTTGTTTCTTGGGTAATTTTTACAATAAAGCATCGTTGCCCAGATGCCAGGAGCATGAAAAGTGACTGATGTCATTTCTCTAGGCTAGAGAGACAGAGACACCATCAGAGTCACAAGATATTCTGCTTAGAGCAAGATAAAAAGCAAGATAAAAACTTGTTTGTGGGATTGAACATGTTTATGACATCTAATAGTGTCACATTAGAAGATAATAACCTGTTTAAGGATGTCTACTTGCTTGAGAAGTTAGAAATCTTTAAGTTTAGGGTAGATAAGAAGGTGATCTGAAGCAAAAGTGTGATTTTTCAGATAATGATGTGGACTCACCATATGGCTGATCGTGACTCTGTTAGCCTCACAGAACCTTTCTGCTAGCTCCTCCTAGAGTGGGTGTGGCGATCACCCACTTATGGATTGTAAGCTCCTAGGAGCAGGGCCCTCCTTTCCCTCTTGTATTGAACTGTATTGTTGTTGTATTGTGTCCCGTTATATTGTAAAGCGCTGAGCAAACTGTTGGCGCTATATAAATCCTGTATAATAATAATAATTATGGAAAGCTGCCAGAAAAATGGTTTAAATGCCAGGAGTCCAACCAGGATCGATTAGGAAGCCCTCCTAGCAGACGAGGATGCTCTGATGCTGGGACTCTTGCCAAGGCTATATGGGCTCATCGATTGGTCACGTTTACGGCTTCTCTGTGACCCCCTGTGCAGTATGGTTCTGATGGGATCTGTTCCTTCCCACCTTCACATAGCTTTGGTAATGTATTCATTCTATGCTGTGACGCTGCAAATGATGTGTATATTTCATGCTGTAATGCTCACATTATTATTGGTGTGTGTTATTATACAGATTGTGATGACTATAAGATATATCCTTCTGTGTGTCGTGTGATAATAAAAGAGGAGGTTTTGACAGAAAATTGCAGTTGGATTCTGTCACTTCTTGGAGTGCCGGGTGAATGCTATTATGTGCCAGGGCAGGTATTCATTTAGTAGAGGGTCTTTCACATGCGTAGAATATGTAATGGTGTAAATGCTTATTAAAATTACCTGTATTGTGTGTGTGTATATGACTTGCTTTTAGTTATTGCACCCAGCATTGCCGTTACATGGTCATCTCCTGTAGTATGTCTGCAGTCTCTGGTCATCTCCTGTACTATGTCTGCAGTATCTGGTCATTTCCTGTACTATGTCTGCTGTTCATTGGTTCAGAATATTTTTATTCTTGTTTTCCTTCTCTAAAAACTAGGTGCGTCTTTTGGTCAGGTGCGTCTTATGGAGCAAAAAATACGGTAAATATTTGAATGGGGAATATCATACCAAACATATCAAGGTCATACATGGCTAAGCTGTGTTTGTTATCCCTGGACATGAAATATAATGCTGAACAATAATCTACCAGTTTCCTCAATGGAAACAGTACATAGTGGAAGATATTAATATTAGTATAAAACTGTGTGTAAGGGAGGGCTATGATGCAGTTATAAACGTGAGCCCTCAGCCACCACCCCTTAAGCCAGGTAATTGGTCAGGTGATCTCTGTCAACACCAGAAGAAAAGTGAAATGTCAGGCCCCTTGACAGTTCTCATTTTAACATCAACCAAGGAACACCTAACCGGAATTGAGAGAGCCACTGTACCATTTTTTCTTGATCAATTGGACTGCTAAAACAAAGGGATTTGTAAGTATTTTTCATTTTCATCTCCTTTTTAATTCTTTGTTGCTTTATAGTTTATTTCCTTGTAACACCCCTTTTTCTGTAAATATTTTATTTGCACCTCTTTGACCTTTTCATTATTAAACCCTATTTTGAAAAGTGTTCAAATTGCCTCTTACTGTGCTAATGCCAACTAAAAGAATCCCTGTTTCTTAAAGAGTGCTATATGATAAATACTGTATTTGATAAATCTCTGAACATACCTGTCTGTGGTGACAGTGCGTGTTGCAGACGTTATATTCTAAAATCATAGTTGTTATTGCTATGATTATGAGTTTCCACCTTCTCAGTCAAAAGAGAATGCCTAAACAACATTTGTAATTGCAACAATTTTCCAGGAAAAGTGCTGCACTATCTGACAGAAATACAGGAGTGCCAATATTTTTGGCCATCACTGTATCAATCTTCTATCTTCTATACCAGTGGTCTCCAAACTGTGTGACTTTGTGGCCCTTTGCTTGCCTTTATCTGGCTTTTGGGGCACTATTCCTTTCGTTGACACCAATGATGGGACACTACTCCTCCCCTAATACTAAACATAGGTCCTCCCACTGACCCCAGGACATTTTTTACTCCCACTGGCCACAGTCCGGCCCCCCTAAAGTCTGATGGACAGTAAACATGCCCCTTGCTTAGAAAGTTTGGAGACCCCCTGTTCTATACCAAGCATGCCTCTACACCAGGGGTGTCCAAACTTTTTTCAAAGAGGGCCAGATTGGATGAAGTGAACATGGTGGAGGGCCGAACATTTTTCCGAACATTCTTTGAACCATTACAATTAAATGCAAATAAATTATTTTATGCCAAGTTAATTGCAAACGACATACTTTTCATTTCATAACATTAAGATCAACTGACAGCTGAGTTTTCACAATGTATTGAAAATAAATTAAAAAAAAACTTACCTGCACTAATGTGAAGGGTGTAAAAGGTAGCTGGAGCTGAAGTCTCTGCTTGGCAGCCGGGAGGGGAAGAGAAACACACTTCACGCTGGAAGCCCAGCCCTGATGTCACTGCCCTCTGTCGCTACCAGCGCGGCGCAGTCACGCATGCGCACTGCTCTCAAGCAGAAGACTGTCTGCCCCAGAAGGGAGGGCCGTGCAACAGCCGCATTTACACAGACCAGGGAGAACGCGCCGCAGTCAGGCATGCGCACTGCCCTCTGCTCTCAAGCAGAAGGCTGTCTGCCATAGAAGGGAGGGCCGTGGGAGGGCCACATTACACAGAGCAGGGAGGGCTGTTGGAGGGCCGTATTAAACCGATCCCCGGGCCGTAAATGGCCCGCGGGCCGGACTTTGGACATGCCTGCTCTACACCATTCCAAATCTCTCTTGTGGAATACCTTTCCATCACTACGGCTTGGTTCACACCAATGCGCTTTTTAGTGCTTTTTGCTTTTTTGCAGAAATTCACTACAGTCCATTTAACATGCTTTCCTATGGGGCACATTCACATCTATGCGTTTTTGAGCTGTGGAAAGGGTCAGGGACATTTTTAAATACAAAAAGCAGAGTTTTTTTCTATGATAGAGTTCAATGGACACACTGCTGAAATGCATGCAGTGTGTTTTTGCCACATTTTGTGTTTTTATTTATGCCCAGTAACAAAAATATTTCCCCTTTAACAAAAAAAAACAAACAAAAAACACACTAAAAAAAACACAAAACGTGGTAAAAACGGACAAAATGCAAAATTGACCCTAACAAGGCTCACATCATACCTTCATTGGCTAAATACCCTCTCGAAGGACAATGCATCCGAGATCACCTACAGTGAGACCAGACCATATAATGGATTGTCCAGCACTGTCACACACACATTGCAACTCCACCAAATGAGAAGGAGTTAGGACTTCTGTCAGGTCTTTATTACTGTCTGTTCATTGCTTTCTGTGCCTGCACTTTTTAAAATTCCTTTCCTGATGACTTGGGGTCTTTTGGACAGGAATCAAGGAAAATCTCCTTAGTGTGTATATACATATACATACAATAATAATAATAACATGACAGAGGATGTGGCCTTTCCCTGTTTAATATATAGCTAAAGAGAAAAATGGTTTTAGTTGGAATGTGACTGTCAGGAACTGAGTCACCTGCTGGTGGCGCTGTGGTTTCCAGATCTGAAGGGTGTTATACTAGTGCCCACCACCAGTGGGTGTACAGTGCTGTGAAAAAGTATTTGCCGTTTCCCTTTTTTTTTGGCATATTTGTAACACTTAAATGATTCAGATCATCAGACAATTTTTAATATTACACAAAGATAATACAAAATGCAGTTTTTAATCAGTTTGATTTCATTTTTTTAAGGTAAAAGTTAAAAAGTAATTGCACTCCCCTCCCCCAGCCACATTTTTTGAAAGCTGAGTTAAATTTCACTTGCCAAACCCAGGCCTGATTACTGCCAGACCCATTGAATCAAGAAATCACTTAAATAGAAGCTGACAAAGCGAAGCACGCTAAAATATCTCAAAAAGCAACACATCATGCCAAGATCTAAAGAAATTCAAGAACAGATTAGAAACAAAGTCATTGACATGTATCAGTCTGGAAAGGGTTACAAAGCCATTTCTAAGGCTTTGGGACTCCAGCAAATCACGGTGAGCCATTATCCACAAATAGAGAAAACTTGGAGCAGTGGTGAACATTCCCAGGAGTGGCCATTCTACCAAAATTACTCCAAAAGCACAACAACGACTAAACCAGGAGGTCATAAAAGAACCCAGAACAACATCTAAAGAACTGCTATCCTCACTTGCCTCAGTTAGGGTCAGTGTTCATGATTCAACAATCAAGAAAGAGACTGGGCAAAATGGCATCCATGGGAGCGTTCCAAGATGGAAGCCACTGCTGACTAGAAAGAATACATAGATAAAAGATCCTCTTATGAGAAAATGTGAGTCCAGATAGAATGACCGTTATGGTGAGTCCAAGTAAAAGGCGTGGGAGCACTGCTCAGGTAGTGGGATTCCAGCAAGTGCTTTACATAAATAATGGAAATACGAAATCACCCATAAAGTGGAGTAATAATCATCCGGTTGTGTGCGAGAGATTAGCAAACTCACCAGAAGCACAATTGTAATGCGCATTGTATAATATAAGTCAGCCTGGGAGACTCCCATCATGGAACCTGGTCTGGTTTAGGATTCTCTCCACCTCTGATGATATGGGCGTATTAAGGAAATGTCAATCAGAGGTCCCTCTCCAGGGTGATAGGTCTGATCAAAAGAAACTTAATCCATCCTGCCAAGTCGGATGGTACCTGGGTCCTGGGGGTTTAAATGCTCATGATAGAGCCAAAAAAGGGGGGTCTCATAGTGTAGTAAATTAATGGTTTATTTAGAGAAATTATTAAAATGTAAAAAACAGTGTACACACGTGATAAAAATGAAATCAAATACAGAAAGTTCTCATACGAATGTGAACAGTCAAATGCAGATGGCCTGTGCTGGCAATGTTACTGACCAGTCAGCCAGTTGTAGGGGCTGCCGGACCTCCGCTATCCAGCGGCGTGACGTCTCTGGGTAGTGGGGCTCCTCTTTAACGCGTTTCATATAAGTATACGTCCTCAGCAGGGGTGATGCGGCATTTAAAAACTAAGTTTTGTATTTACTCGGGTTATCTTTGTTTAACCGCTTGCCCTCCAGAGGATTTACCCCCATCCTGACCAAGCCATTTTTTGCTGTTTGGTACTGCACTATTTCAACTGGTAATTGCGCAGTTGTGCAATGCTGTACCAAAATGACATTTATATCCTTTTTTTTGCACATTTGATCACCTCTGCGTTTTTTATTTTTTGCGCTATAAACGAAAAAATTGATTTTAGGCTAAAATCTATTCTGCTACATGTCTTTGGAAAAAAAAATCTTAATACAAGTATATTAATTGGTATGTGTGAAAGTTATAGCGTCTACAAACTATGGTATATATATTGGAATTTATGTAGCTTTTATGTTCTGACTGCCTATCACATTTCTTGAGGTGCTAAGTCCATGGCACATTTTATTTTTTGCCACAAATTTTTTTCATATGACAATTCTCTTTACACAAAGTTGTCACTTTAATGATATATTGCTCATGCATGCTATGGGTATATGTGGAATAACACCCCAAAACACATTCTCCTACTTCTTCTGAGTATGGGGATACCACATGTGAGAGACTTTTTGGCAGTCTAGCTACATACAGGCCCCCAAAATCCAATGACCACCTCCAGGCTTTCAAAGGGCATATTTCCTCATATCACTTCCCCACTATCTATCAGTTTTGGAGGCTCTAAAATGTCAGGATAGCACAAACACCCCCGCCCCCCTCAAATGACCCCTTTTTGGAAAGCAGACACCCCAAGGAATTTGATAAGAAGTGTGGTGAGTATTTTCCAGATATCATTTTTGTCACAGGGTTTTGAAAATTAAAAAAAGAAAAGAAAAATAAATGTTTTGTTTTCTTTGTTCATTTTCCAAAAACATGTGGCAACAAATGAGATCTGCAAAACACTCACCATGCCTCTTAGCAAATACCTTGGA